GCAAGGTAGCTCAAGCACGTGCATTTGCATGAGTGACTTGTGATCCTAGCATTGGGTCTCATCAAACTGCTTCCCAATAAGTGGTGCATCCATTTCTTTGCCTCTGAGGTGGTGACCGGTCGTGCAGTTGGTTCCATACTGCTGTCAGGTGCAGGCAACAACGGAAACTTCTTCAAATCTTCTATACCCAACTGACGTCTGACATCCAGCCATTGGGAACCCCAACAGTCATCTGTCACTCCATGTGCTGGGGCTGCAACCGGTAAAAACATGTGTCGAAGGTGGTGTGCTCGAGCAGTCTTGTGTACCGATGTCCGCACTTCTATAAATTGAAGAACGCCACTTGGATCACTGTCACAAATCAACTCCTCTGCATGTTGTGCATCCGACCACCTGGACCTACCATAAACGCAGAAAAGGACCATGCCACTCATTGCACGGTCCCACAGTTCCTCACCAGCCCTCAAGCATTCATGAAACTTCTTCAACTGCTCAACGGTGAAAGGGTCTGCTTGTCTCGGACATGTCAAAGCTTTTGAACTAGCAGCACCTAAACATCTACGGCTCTCCACAACCTTTTGCAACTCCTCTACCCCCAAGACGTAGCGGCAGAAGACCAGGGCTTCAAAGTAAGCCTTCAGTCTCGAAGAAGGTGCTTTGGCGTCAACCTCAACACGAAGCAAAGAGTAAAACTGATCCTCATTGCAAGGAAATGGCAAACCCTTCTGTCTCAAAAGGCCACATAGCTTTGCCAGACTGTTGCATCTCTTCAAGATTGTCTGAGGCGCTTTGTTGTAAAACACATCTACCAAAATCTGAGCTTTCTCCTGAAAACTGTCCTTGCTCTGAATTGAAACTGCAAGTGGAATTTCCGAAGCTTCCCAAGTCTCAATCAAGGCAACCCAACGCCTAATGGCCACCTCCCATTGGGCTTCACGTTCTTCCCTCCAGGTTCGCTCAGGTATGTCCCTGATGTGTTGCAAGAAATTCTTCACCTCAACAGTTTGTTTCGTAGCTATTCTACGTTCAACCTCAACTTCAGTGCATTCGATTGTTGTTGAAGCATCAGGTACAGGCATAGGACGTTTGATACCTTTGGTCATCATATCCAACGCTGTAGTATTGGGGTCAAAAAACCTTGTCCAAAAATCTGATTCCCAGTGAGGTTCCAGCTCGATGTTTGGCAACGATTTCCAAGCCGACTGAACAACTCTGTCAGCGTCATAATCCACTGCCACAGGCTTGCAACCGTCTGTTGTAAATACCGGCAAAAACCCTGAAAAATCAGAAGCAATTGAAGGTTCATACATTGATCCAGCATGTTCAGAAACGCTTCCAAAAACATGACCTGTAACCAGTGTCCAGCTACTTAGATCAGCTCCAGACTCAGGCACATCCATGGCATCAACTACGACCCCCCATGCTACAACTCGCACCTAAAAGTGCAAGAGGCTCCCTCCTCACCCTCCCTTTCTTGAGGCGAGCACGGTCGAAAAAGGATTCACATGTTTTCTAAATATACATGTGACATCAGAAGATTCATTTGTTTCACAAACATCTTCAAATAAGTTACACAACCAATTTGTGTATTAAAACTCTTACGAAGTCACAGATCAAATTTCTTCCAGGATCCAAGACACTTGAAAAAATAACTAACAGGGTTTGAGACACTGATTTGCGTTCAGAGTTTTCCAAGAGGTGTTGAAGTGAAGAAGTCAACATTCCCAGATAGGGAAAAAGGGGGAAACTGCCTAATCTTGTCCAAGACAAAATTTTTCCTTTTGTGCAAATAAAGGGAGCATCATTGCTTTGCAATGAGCGAACCCGTCAAAAGCACGAATTTCATTAGGCAGCAAGATGCCAAATTCTTGGCCTTCAGTCCAATGAGGACGGTGTTCACGTAGAAGGTCACTCAGGATCTGTCCATTGCGAAGGACGAAGGTGTCGCCGGTGCTATCTTGCCATCGAAGATCCATGGAAGAAGGTTCCAGGTAATAGTCCCAGGTGTATGTAATGTGCTGGCTGATGTAGTACAGTAGGATGTCTACCGTGAGAGTCTGAGTTTGGGCCGGATGGACCAGGATGCTGTAAGTGAACAATGCATATTCTTCCAGTCGGCCAAGTGAAGGCAATTCACGGCAGGTCGTTGCCTCCATGGCATCACAATGATGTGCATTCACAAGGGTCCGAATCTGCTCTAAGTTGACGATGATCAGTACTCGGCGAAGTTGCCGGAGCGGTGGAACGTCATGCCATGAGTCTTGATACTGAGGATTGCGTTGTGGAGCAGGATGTGGGTTGCTCCACATGGGCGGATCATCCCGAGAATGGGAACGATCGGGGGTCACACGTACGTAATTAGATGAATAAGCCATAATGACTGAGACAACTGTGAGGGGCTGATTGGTGGGGGGGCGTTACTGGATGGATTCTAGGTGGCCTTCTTAGAAGCTGAACATGAAGGCTTTGCCACTTAGAAGCTCTTAGAAGCAGAAGGCATCTTAGAGGCCTTCTAGATGTCACCTGCTGCATGGGTTACATGTATCATTCCCTGCTAGCTGTGGGATTGTAGGACACGATTTGCATGCTCCTCTGCGCTGCATTTTCTGCCTCCATTGCATTCCTACATACATACATACATACATACATACATACATACACACATTACATACATTACATACATTACATACATTACATACATTACATACATTACATACATTACATACATTACATACATACATGCATTACATTACATTACATTAAATTACATTACATTACATTACATTACATTCATACATACATTCATATATAGAGTTACGCGCATAGATACATTCGTACATCCATACTTACATGCAAATATCAATGCAAACATACACACAGACAGAAAGACAGACAGACAGACATACATACATCTATGGAGGCACACATACAGACAGACAGATAGACATTCATACAAATATGTGTACATACATCTATGCAGACATACATACAGACAGACAGGCAGGCATACATCTATGCAGTCATGCATGCAGACAGACAGACAGACAGACATACATCTATGCAAATACAAACAGACAGATATATATATATATAAATATAAAGATAAAGGCATACATACATACACACATACATACATGGATACAAACATACATATATACATACATACATACATACATACATACATACATGCCTACATACCTACATACC